GGACGAGGAGGCCGAGGGCGGCGGCGAGGGCGGCGCGCGCGCCCGCGCCTTCCTGCCCATGGTGGACAACCTGCGCGGCAAGTCCGGCCAGGGCTACTACGTGCAGATGGCGCTGGGCAGCCCGCCGCAGAAGGTGAGCGCGCCGCGGGCCGGGCAGCGCCGAGCAGCGCCGGCAGCAGCGCAGGCAGCAGCGCATGCAGCAGTGCATGCAGCAGTGCATGCAGCAGCGCAGGCAGCAGCGCATGCAGCAGTGCATGCAGCAGTGCGTGCAGCGGGCCTGGTGCATGCACCGCCCCGCGCCGCCCCGGGCGCTGTGTGCATGCACGCACGCAGCCCTGCGTGCATGCCTGCAGGCCGGGGTGGCTGCGCGGGGCCCGTGCTGCCCGTGTCTCGGTGACAGCCCTGCCGCAAACGGCAGCAGCGCCGCGGCCGCCGGGCAGCCTGGCACGGGCCCGGCCTGCAGCTCTGCATCGCGCATCCGGGGCCGGGGCTCGGCGTGCCACCGCTGTGCTCCCCGTCCGGCGGTGCCCAGCGCGCGCACTGCTCTGCGGGGCTCGGTGCCGCCGTGGCCTCCRCGTGCCAGCAGCAGCCTGCAGCATTGCCGTGCCCATGGCAGCAGCCCCGCTTGCACCACCTGTGTGCCACTGTGGCAGCGGCAGCCCCTGCGGGCCGCGTCTCCTTGGCTGCACGCGCTGCCCGGCGGCCGCGTCCCCGCGGCGGCAGCTCTCCCGGGAGYGCTGCGGGGAGCACGGCCGCCAGGGAGGCCCGGGGAGGCCCCGCGGGGCAGGAGGCTGCGGGCGGCCGTGTCCCGGCCATGCCGTGCGCCGCTGTTGGGTCGCGGGCAGCGCAGCCGGGAGCAGCAGCGGGCCGCAGCGCGGCGGGCAGCGCGGTGCCAGCCCCCTCCGCACTGCCCCCGCGCAGCTCAACATCCTGGTGGACACGGGCAGCAGCAACTTCGCGGTGGGCGCCGCGCCGCACCCCTTCCTGCGGCGGTACTACCAGCGGCAGCGGTGAGTACGGGGCCGCGGGGCCGCGCGCACTGCCCGCGCCGCCCGCCCTGACCGCGCTGCTCGCCCGCAGCTCCAGCACCTACCGCGACCTGCGCAAGGGCGTCTACGTGCCCTACACCCAGGGCAAGTGGGAGGGCGAGCTGGGCACCGACCTCGTCACCATCCCGCACGGCCCCAACGTCACCATCAGAGCCAACATMGCCGCCATCACCGAGTCGGACAAGTTCTTCATCAACGGCTCCAACTGGGAGGGCATCCTGGGGCTGGCCTACGCGGAGATCGCGCGCGTGAGTGCTGCCTGGCRCGCGGGCGGCTGCGGGCGCTCGGCTCCGCGCGCTGGCACGCGCCCGTGCTGAGCGCGCCCTGCGCCCCGCAGCCCGACGACAGCCTGGAGCCCTTCTTTGACTCGCTGGTGAAGCAGACGCGGGTGCCCAACATCTTCTCGCTGCAGCTGTGCGGCGCGGGCTTCTCGCCCAACGGCAGCGAGGCGCTGGCGGCCGTGGGGGGCAGCATGGTGAGCGCACGGGCGGGCGGGCGCCGCAGGGGAGTGCGCGGGGACGGCCCTGGCAGCGCCCGGTGGCAGCGCCCGTCCCTCCCTGCTGCAGATCATCGGCGGCATCGACCGCGCGCTCTACGTGGGCGACATCTGGTACACGCCCATCCGCAAGGAGTGGTACTACGAGGTCATCATCGTGAAGCTGGAGGTCAACGGGCAGGACCTCAACATGGACTGCAAGGAGGTGAGGCGGGCGGGCGGTTGGCTGCAGCTGGKCCCCGTGGGCGCTGCGAGGCGGCTGGGGCGCCACCACAGTGGGTGGGGCTCCCCTGGCACCCCCTCACTCCCTGTCTCCTGCCCCCAGTACAACTACGACAAGAGCATCGTGGACAGCGGCACCACCAACCTCAGGCTGCCCAAGAAGGTGTTCGAGGCTGCGGTGAGGTCCATCAAGACGGCTTCATCGGTGAGCGCAGCTGCACTCGTCGGGCAGCACCGCGTAGCCACGTGCCCCGCTGGCAGGCAGGGTGCCCACCGGGCGCCTCCGCTCCCCGCGCGGCCCCACTCGCCCCTGCTTCCCCTCTGCAGACGGAGAAGTTCCCCGACGGCTTCTGGCTGGGGGAGCAGCTGGTTTGCTGGCAGGTGGGCACCACCCCCTGGCACATCTTCCCTGCGCTGTCCCTCTACCTGATGGGCGAGGCCACCAACCAGTCGTTCCGGATCACCATCCTGCCGCAGGTGGGTGCCGCGGGCCGGCGGGGGCGGCACGCGCCGCACGGGGCCGTGCCGGGCCGCGCGGCGCCCCTGCTGACGCCGCTCGCCCTGCAGCAGTACCTGCGCCCCGTGGAGGACGTGGCCACCTCGCAGGATGACTGCTACAAGTTCGCCATCTCKCAGTCCTCCACGGGCACCGTCATGGGCGCCGTCATCATGGAGGGCTTCTACGTGGTGTTCGACCGGGCCCGCAAGCGCATCGGCTTCGCCGTGAGCGCCTGCCACGGTAAGGGCTGCGCGCGGGGAGCGGGGACGCGCGGTGCCCAGGGTGCCGCAGCGCCCCGACCGCCGCCCGTGGCGCCCGCAGTGCACGACGAGTTCCGCACGGCTGCCGTGGAGGGGCCCTTCCTGCACGCCGACATGGAGGACTGCGGCTACAACATCCCGCAGACGGACGAGTCCACGCTGATGACCATCGCCTACGTGATGGCGGCCATCTGCGCCCTCTTCATGCTGCCGCTCTGCCTCATGGTGTTCCAGTGGCGCTGCTTCCGCTGCCTGCGGCGCGAGCACGACGACTTTGCCGACGACATCTCGCTGCTCAAGTGAGCGCGGCGGCACGCGGGGCGCGCGGCCAGGTGAGGCGGCGGCGCGGGGCCCGGCGGTGGCAGTGCAGTGCCCGCGGCCTCCTCGTGCCGGGCAGCGGCGGGTGCGCGCGGACGGACGGACGGGCGCCAGGGAGCAGGCGCAGGGCCGTGAGGTGCCGGCCGGGGGGACACGGTGTGCGCGGCTGCCCCTCGGCCCCTCGCGTCCCCGTGGCTGCGCCCTCCTGCCGGCCCTGCAGGCGCCCTGCCTGCGTGGCCGTGTGCGCCGTGGCCGTGGCCGTCCCCGTGCAGCTGCCCTGCACAGGAGCCCGCGTGCCCGGGGCCTCGTCCCCACGCGGGGCCCTCCTGGAGCTGCCGGGGCCGCGGGGAGCCGTGGGGAGGGCGCGCGGTGGTGCCGCCCACCTGCTCCGCGGCCTCGTGCTCCGTGCAGCAGCCGTCGTGCCGCGCTGCGCCCTCGGCGGTGCCACGCGCTGCTTGTCACACAGCAGCCCGGTGGTGCTGTGCCGCGCGGCCTCCCTTGCCCCGGCGCCCCGCGCTCCTGGGGGCACGGGGGCACCTGTGCTGCTGCGCAGCACCAGCACAGCCCGGGGTCCCGCCGGAACGCTCTGCGCCCCGGGCGCGCGCCCAGCCCTTTCGAAAGCCATAGGGAGCCAGCGGGGTGCTTTGCTGGCCCCGCTGCAGCGGCCGCCAGGCCTCACCCGCCGCAGCGCCTCCCACATCCCGCCTCCCACGTCCCCGGGCTCCCGGGCAGCCGGGGCAGCGGCCCTGGGCACCGCGGCATTGCTCCTTTTTTAACCCCGTGGGTGTACGTAGTTTGGTTTTCTACGCTATGAGTCCTCGGTAGTGCAGCTGTGCCGAATCAGCGTGCGTAGAGCAGGCCCGTGCTGCACACGGGGCTTCCAATTACGGATGCTTCTCCCCTGTGCCATCCCTGCAGATATGTGTATTTTTAATTCTCACCCCGAGAGCCGCTTTCGCCCCACGTGCCAGGTCGTGGGGAGAGCTTTGGCTCTCCTTCTGTCTTTTCTGTTTGGTTTTTATTCTTGGCAGCCCCCTGCCTAGTCCCGGTGCCTTGGCGCGAGCCAGGCGCCAGACTAGCTGGCGCAGCAGCGGCTGCTCGGCGGCAAGCCCTTTAGGGAGCGCCGGGACGGGCGGCTCGCGGGGATCGCGAGGCGCCGCGCACGGCAGCGCTGCCGGGAAGGGCCCCCCGAGAGCTGCCGGAGCCGCGGGGAGCGCCGCGGCGCCCGCCCGCACCCCACACCTTGGCATCCCGCCCGCCTGCGCGCACCAGAGGCACCCGAGCCGCGTGCGGGCAGGCGYGGGCGGGCGGGATGGCCAAGGCGCCAGGCCCGTGGCCCTGGGCTGCGGTGCAGCCACCGCGCGCTCGCTGTGCAGCGCGGCGCCCGCCGGCACCGGGAAAGCGGGGCAGCCCTTTGCCCGCGCGCACACGGCGGGCAGCGGGACCCCAGCTGCTGCTGTAGACTCCAGTGCTCTGTAACCTAGCGTCTGTGTAAGAACAATGAATGTTAACACGGTAAATTATTATTATATTAAAAACCACAAAACTCCCCCTTTGCCTGCAAGCTTCCTTGCTAGGAGGGACCGGGCCAGGAGCACGAGGAGTTCTGCAGGGATGTGGCAGAGGAGGGCTCTGCTGGGGCACCGGGCAGGGCCATCCCGGCCCGGGAATGCTTTGTGCAAGCGGGATTGCTTTGTGGAAGCGTTGGGAACGCTGCCGCAGGTTGGGGGAGTGCTGCGAGCCGCGGCGCTGTGTTAGCAAGGAAGCCAGGAGGGCGACCACTAACCGAGAAACGASGGGCAGCAGCAGCTCACTGCATAATATACACACTTTATTTATGAATTTGTATGTATACAGACTTTCTATACACACATTACCTATATAATAAAAATGTACATGTGTATACATGGTCGTATAAATATAGAACTGTAGAAATCTTAGAACTGATCCGCTCTATTCACAGCAACTCCTGCGGGGGACGCTTTGTTCAGGCAGCCGTCATTTGAGGCTTGGGCAGAAGGGGCAAGTGTCGTTTGTGTTGGTCTGTGCCCAGAACTTGATGCACTGCAAGAGAGAGAATGAGCCAGGAGGCAGCGGCCCGACCCACGGCGCTGCGGGCACCGCGAGGCGCTGCTGCCGCTGGGCACTGTGCTCTCCTTTGGTGCCCACAAGCCCCGAAGGGCCCTGGSAGCAGGGAGCCTTCCCCGAGGAGCAGCAGCAGCAGCAGCACGGGGCTCTCCTGAGCTCCTGCCTTTCTGCGGCCTCCACACTCGCTTGGGCCATGAGGCAGCCGTTAGGAGGAGGGTTTTGCCTCCAGCCGCAGGCAGCGCCGCGGGCAGAGAGCGGCTCCTCTCCTCAGCTCCCTCCGACACCCGGCACCCTACATCTTCCCTCCGCCTCGCCCTCCAGGAAGGCAGGAAGCGCGGATCTAACCCTCCCAAGAAGGGGCACAGGCTCCAAGGCCAGAACGGCAGGCACTCCGGAAGAGCCGCGCAGGTTGGTGCAGCCAGGAGCGAGCAGAGACGGGGACAGGGCGCGGAGATGTTTGTCACCGAACGCGCCCTCCTCGTGGCGCGACGCGCTCGCAAGCGGCACCCCGGGGGCCTCTCYAGCCCTGCTGGGACCCGGGAAGGGGCGGCAGCACTCACCTCCTTGTGCAGCACGTGCGCGCAGGCCATGGGGTGCAGCTCCCCGGGCTGCACCAGCTTCTGGCACATGAGGCACAGCTTGCAGGCCGCCGGGCTCTGCCGCCACCGCGGGGACAGAAGGCAGAGGGTGACGGGAGCGCCCGGCCGCGCTCCAGCACGCGCCGCTGCTCCCCTGCAGGCGCCCGTCCCGCAGCCACCTCTGCGCCCTGCCCTGCGGCTGCGCGCCCACAAGGGCTCCCTCCCTCCCTCCCTCCCTCCCGGCGGCCGTCCCTGCGGCTGCTCCGCGACCGCCGCCAAGCCTTACGTGTGCCGCCGCCGCTCCGGGATACGCCACCTGGCCGGGAGGCAGGAACATGGGCGTGCTGATCTGCGGCAGCGGCGCGGAGAAGAGGGGCGCGCGGATGCGGCTCAGCGGCTGCAGCGAGGCAAGCGGAGGCGTCAGCGGCGCCGCCCCGCGCCAAGGAGGCGGCCCCCGGCCCCCGACCCCGCACCTGAGCCCCGGCCGCGGCCCGCTCGTGCTGCTCCGCCAGCTTCGCCGCCACCAGCTGGTTCAGCTCCTCCATGGTGAGCCCGGCCATGGTCCTCCGCGCGGTCTTGATCTGCTGCAGGATGTTGGTGAGCTGGGCCCTGCGGGGGACAGCGGCCTGCCCTGAGCTCCCACCCGCCGCCGGCTGCCCGCAGAGCCGGCGGCCGCTCCCGGGGGAAGCCTGCGTCACCGCGAGGGACGACACGCTGCGCACTGCCCGCAGCCGAGAGCCCCCACGAGCCACATGCCACCCCGAGCTGCTGTCTCGCGACGCCGGGGGAAGCACCGGCAGAGTCGTCCAAGAGCACGAGGCAGAGCTCGGCCTCCCTCCCCTTGCCCGGGCTCCTGGCGCTCCCGGGCCAGCTCCGCTCGCTCACCTGCCCGCGCCAGCCTTCGCTGCCCGCGGCAGAGAACGCGGGCGCTTACTTGGTGCACTGCGGGAACCGAGTCAACAGCTTCTCCAGCAGCTTTTCCAGCTTATCAGCCGGCTGGGGCACGTGAAACTCTGGAGTGACCTTAACTCCTCCCAGACCTGGCGGAGGAGGGATGGAGGCAGCCGGCGCCATGTGGGGACTGTGCGTGCCAATAAGCGACGCCACGACCGGGCTGCTCCTGCCTTGGGAAGCAGGCAGCGGCGGGGAGGGCTGGTTAGCTCTGGAGATGGCAGGGTTCAGAAGCGGGAAGGAGAGTGCCCGGGGGTCAGCGCTTGGCATGACCATGGGCACGGGAACCGGTCCGATGGGGAAGGGCAGCCTGGGAGAAAGGGAGGGGTTGGGCTGGAATGCCGTCAGCATGAAATCTGTCTGAGAGAGAAAAACAGGAGGGGAGGAAAGGCTGGTCAGAAAAGGCCATCTCCGAGCAGAGCTCCCCGGGGAGGGCAGCGGGCGCCCCAGCACGGAGCCCCCAGCCGGCCGGCTGGCCGGSCATCGCGCGCACCGGAGGGGCACTCACTTCCGAGGGCGGAGGCGGCAGGGTCGGCGTTGGGATCTGCGGAAGGCTGCTCAGCTTGGTTCCGTTTCTCACCATCTGAATGTGGTCATTGAACTGATCCTGAAAGGGAGGGAGGAGAGCAGAGGCCGAGCGCTGCAAGCTGCTGCCTGAGGAGGAGGAGGAGGCGGGCGCCCAGGAGCCACCCACACGTGCGAGCTCGGGGAGGCTCGCACGGGCCTCGGCAGCTGCAGCCAGGGCGGGCTGGGCGGGCCACGCTCCCAGGCACAAACCCCTCGGCGTTGCCTCGCTCCTCTCCTAAAGAGGCTGGAGATGCAGCAGGCAAAGCAGCGTTCACCACGAGCGCTCGCCGTCGTGGCGGCAGCCGCTTGCCAGGGACTCACTCGCACGCTTTCCTTGGTCATGCGTATCCTGTTGAGCCTCATCTCCCACTCCTGCTTGGGCCGCATGGTCTCCAGCGTCGGGGGCGCAGACCTGCAAGGCCGATTGATTCCCCTTGCCCTCTCGCTCCTGCGCTCTCGTCGGCAGCAAAGGCAGGGAAGCCAGAAGCAACGAACCCGCCCAGCCCCTTCCCCAGCAGGCGCCCCGCTCCAGCCAGGCACCTMGAGCTGGGAAGAACCTCTGCAAGAGGGGCCCTGGTGCTGCCAGGGGCCAGAGACTGACGCGGGGGACAGGAACAGGCAGCGCAGCCAGCGCAGGGCCATCGGCTCGAGAGCGTGGCAGCAAAGACAGCAGGGAATGGGCACGTCCCCACGTGCCCTTGTTCTGCGGCATGGCAGAGTCACAGGAGTTTCATAAAGAAACCCACAAGAAACCTCAACCCAGTCAAACCTCTCCAACGGCGGGAGAGGAAGGGCAAACAGGCACAGGGCAACACCGGAGTCTTGCTGCCCTTTTGGRGACTTACTTGAGGTAAGTGAGGTGCAGCTCTGCTTCTTTTTCCGCTTCCTCTAGCTTCAGCACGAGCAGCTCCTTTCGGCTCTCCAGGGACAGGATCTAGCAGAGAGAGGCCCCACGTGAAGGCAGTGTCTGTACTGCCCTTTCACGCTGCCACGCCGTGACTGCCAGCTCTTCAGCGAACASCCTGCTAGCTGCACTGGGGCATCAGCTGGCATGAACAGGTACTGCACTGACACTTGCAGACACTTGCCTTGGCACTTGCCCTAGTTGTTGTCAACCTCCCCTAGCTTCAGGTCCTCACCATCACTCATCAAGGACCTGGAAGCCCTAGAAGAGCCTCCTCAGCCCCTGTGCACGTAAGAAGCCACCCACCAACCTCTGCTTTCCAGGCCCGCTCTGTCTCCTCGAGAATGTTCCTGTTGATTTCGTTGTGCTGGTTCTTCAGCTTGTCTAGCTCCATCTCCCACAGCTGCCTGCAGGCACGAAGAGAAGAGGGTCCCTTTTCCCCCGGTGCCCGAGGGGAGCTGCTCCCGAGCACAGGAACCCGCGCGCAGCTGCAAAAACCCGCCCAGCCCCGGCCAACGGCACACGGCGCGGACCCAGAGAGCGCAGCCAGCACGCACATCTGAACATCACTCGGAGAGCGCGAGCCCTGCCCTAATGCTGCGAGTCCAAATGCACTCGGAGGTCGCAGCCACAAGCTGTGCCAAGGCACCGAGCAGAAATTCTAGTCTTAGGGGAACTCTATGTCACACGTATCCAGGAGCCTGCTGGCGAGCGGCATCCAAGAGGATTAAATCCAGAGGCTGTGGGCACYCGCCTGCTGCAGAAGGAGATAAAACCTTTAGAGCGCCTCACTGCGCAGCGCTGCCCGGGCGTCCTCACCACATTCGCTCCCGAGCCAAATACTCTGGGGTTAGGGAAAYCTGCTTTCATCTGTCACGTATCGACCGCTCCCCACAAGCAGAGGGAAAACACTGGCAGGAAGAGGTTACTCGGCGGCATGATCTTGGTAACATGGAGAGCCTTACTTCTCATCAGACTGCTCTGCGATCAGGGAAGCAATCTTGTTTTCCTTTTCCTCCTGTTCTTTCAGCAACCTGCACAAGGGAAAAGATGGACAGATGGAGTCACCTACTGCAACGGTGTCACCGCACTGCCACTACCGCTGCGTGGCTCCAGTTTAAACCAGGTATTTGCACGGCCACGTGCCCAGCGTTGCGACATTCTCCAAGGACCGAGCCATTTGCTACGCGTTTGGAAGCGATCGCTACCACCGTCCACGAGAAAAGAGCCGGAGTCTGCTGTGTCCTGACACTGCAGTGAGTGCCGCACGCAGCCAGGATCCGCTGCAGAGCGCTGTGCCACGCGGCAACAACCTGCGGCAGCTGCTTTGCAACGCGAGGAGCGGAGGCCAAGTTCTCGGAACGGTTACTGAATTCACCGCCTCCAAAGACCCGCAGAGCGAGCCCTCAGCACTCACAGCTCCCGGACAAGAGAGCAGAGCTGCGTGGCAGAGCAAGGCCGCCATGCAAAGGAGCTCACGTCCTTCCCCTCACATGGACACCCGCTGGCTCGCGAGTCCCCGCCACGCAGAGAGGCTCCTGGCAGTGCCCGTGCTGCCCATCTTACCGCAGGGCAGGCCCGCGGCAGGCGGCCTGTCGAGCCCCCACGTGCAAGACAGGCACAACCTCCTCCTGCTCAAAGCTTCAGCCGGGGGCCTCCGTACGGAGACGCGGCCAGCCTGCAGGAGACGTGTTCGCAACGGGCTGCTCCCCGTTACACTGCCTGCTGCTTCCACAAGTCCACCGTGATCCTCCTWGAACCGCACCTACTGCATGCTCCAGCTAGATGCTTTCTGTTCTAACCAGGCCTTGCCTCTCCATACTAATACCTTCTGCCTTTCTCACAGAGTTTCTCAATCTCCGCCTTCAGATCYTGCTCCTTCTGCAGGAATTCCTTCTTCTCTTTCTCCATCTTCTTCTTTGTCTCTTCGCGCTTGATGGTCACATCCTGAATGGCTTTCAGAATCTCCTAAAGGAAACAAGCCTCATGCAGATAAAGAGCAAAATCCCCAAATTACAGTTTTGCTCTCAAACGGGCTGCTGTCTCAGTGAAGTTGAAGACAGCTCATTTGCATCTTGGTAATCTTTTTTTGCAGATGGAGCCCCAGATAAGGTCTATATAGGGGTTTGTAAGAGGAAACTCAGGAGGCAGACATGGAGGCTGCGGCTCTCCTGTCTCCTTAGAAACCTCTTAGGGGCCAATGACTTCCACGCCTTGCTTTAGACCAAGCTGACGTCCCCGATGGTTCCTTTCGTCCCGACAAGAGCTACTGTAGGGGCAGCTATCCCTTTATTTCCCCACCTACCTGGTGGTTCTTCATCTCCTCTTCCCTCCGCTGCTGCAGCTGCTTCAGCTGCACCTGCAGCTGGTTCTCCACTTGCCTCTGCTTGTCCAGCACCTCCTGGTAACGCTCCTTCAGCAGAGCCCTCTCAGACATCATTTTGTCCTGCGGGTAGAGAGGAWCCTCAGGGAGAAGCTGCTCCTTCCTCCGCGCCAATGGGGACAGGGACAAGAGCAGCAAAGCTCAGGAGCCCTGGGAAGCCCAGCGGGCAGCGAGGCTCAGGCTGCCACTAAGCGCAGGGACTTTCTGCTTCAGCAGTGGGCTTCTCTCGATTGCACTGCGGGTCTCACTGCCTGAGGCTGCAGCTGACGCTGCAYTTCTGCCTCTGAGAGCAGGGCTGCGCAGCGGCAAGGCCGGGGCCCGGAGCGAGCCGGCCAGCGCACACACGCCGAGTTTGCGGCTGCCTCGCGTGGCACGCGCGCTGCCAGCGTGCACGCGCCCTCCTGCTTCTCCGCAGCCTTTGGGAGTTCGGGGGCTCAGGAACGGAGGAGCCCGCGTGGGGCACGGGCGGCGCGAGGGCTGGGGTGTGCGCCCGCGGGAGCGCCTGGCGGCTGCTTGGCTGGTGAGTGCACGCGCAGGGCAAGACGGGCACCGCGAGAGGCCCGTGCGGGTGCCCACGGACGGGCACGGAGGCGAGATGGTCTCCAGAGTGGACGGCCGCGTGCCACTGTGCATGCGGCYGCGGGCCGGACACCCACCAGGCTGCGCTCGATGTCCTGGTCCGTGTTGACGTCCGCATCGGCCGTCCTGAAGTCGGTCTGCGGAGGGAGGCAGGGATGGCGGCGGCTGCGGGGCCGGGGCGCGGGGCGCGGGGCCGGCCCGGGGCACCCACCTGCACCGCGATGTTCTGCGAGGGCCGCGCCGGGGCGGCCGCCGTGCCGGGACTCGCCGGGGGTCCCGCGGGCTCCGCG